AGACCAAAGGACCCTTCCTTTGACTTGAAGTTTTACATGAACACACTAAATTTTGTATGGAAAAAAAATCAATAGGGGCATATAGATACAAGGTATGTGTTAAGACACCTAACCTAGAAGGCTGATTTCTCCTGGACTTCAAAATGACGTTATTCTTACTACTCTGCTGCTGCTACTACTACTTCCTTTACCAGGCACATGTTCTCCATACAGCTGCCAAACCCTCCTAAAATTTGTTATATCACATCACTTGTCTGCTAACAATTCTCAAATGGCTACCCATGCTGGGTAAAAGCCAAGTTTTTGTAATGGCTTACAATGCCCTACGTGATCAGTGCACACCCCCACTGCCAGCCTCAATCCATCTCAGGCATATTTCTCTGACTTTATCATTCTTACTCATGCCATTCCAGCCATACGGACCTTTTGACTGTTCTACTTTAGCATCACAGAATGCATCTCCCACCCTGGGGCCTTTGGACTTGCCGCCACCTCTGCTTGAAATGTTCTTCTCCCAGATACCTACCTGGCTTGTTCACTTAATTCAGGTCTCTGCTGAGATGCCACTGTCCCAAGGAGGCCATCTCTAACCATCTTACCTCAAATAACAACACCCCACAAATATTCCCTTTGCTTTTTCTCTGTGGTACTCATTATATTGACACATTTACATGCTTGTTTCCTGTCTCCTCTCACTAGAATATAAGCTCCAAATGGGCAGAGACTTTGTTTTGGGGCACTGCTGAATCCCTGGCACCAAAAACAGTGTCTGACACAAAGTAAGCACTTAAATGTTGGTCAAATTGTTTTCATCAGGATTTTTAAAAATTTCGTTGTTGTGCCTATATGGGGGAAAGTTAAAAGGACTAGAGGCTTCTGGAAATGTGTATTTCCCCAACTTTCATGGACTTGTACTAGAAACACCCAACAGATAGTTCCACTCCAGGTACATACTCCAGTCTACTAGGATTTGAAGAAGAGAGAAATCCAGTCAATATAACCTCTAATACTACACTCAGGGAATTAACTATCTGCACTGACTTTCTTCCCTCCCCATCTCATTTAAAGGTTCTCATTTCTTGCAAAAAGGTGAGAGGTCCCTGGAATACTGTGTTGTACCTTGCCCAGAGCAGGTACCCACACTGACTACATTTCAGCCTTGGAACCAGCCCACACCAAATCTCTCCAGGATGCAGGTGATAAGCAGAATAAAAAGCCTTCTCAATCACAGAGTTGAATCTTGTGGAAGCATTTATTTCAGTAATCAAAAGAACACAGTAAATGGAATCTATACTGACTAACATTAGGCATGCACCTCTACCTGAAACTTCTGTTAGTTTTCAACAGGCCTAAATCTTCATAATTTATTTAGGCACATCTTTGAATTTCTTGGACCCTGATATTCAGGGTAAGTTCACTTCTTCCTTGTGGTAGTTTAGTAATGAGAATTATGTTCACTGGCTAGATGCCTTTAAAACCAAAGGCCTCCAGACACTCAGGCTATCTGTACTACCTCAATCACAGTATAAGGAAGGGAGATAACTCAGAAAGCTAACTGCATTGTATGAATATCCCATAGATTTTTTTCCAGCACTGATGGTCAAAACACTAGATCAGGAGGCCTACGGTTAAGTACCAAGTTACTCTTCCCTCACTGTTGCCCTTTCTCAGAGACATAAAGATGTTTATCCATGTCAGAAATCTGAAATGAATCCACACAAATGACAGATTTTACCCATGTGGTCCCACTAACAAATTATAGAAAGCAGTTCTACTACCCAAATTATAGGAAGCAGTTAATGGGACTTTGAGAAAAACATAGTCCCACATACAGTAATATGCATCTAGTAAAGTTTTCCATTCATCTGTCAATTGTTTTCACAAGATTAACATTAAAAAAAAAAACACAACCAAATATGCATATAACCCTCAAACGCCAAACACAAACAAAAAATTGGTCTTTGTTCATTCTCAGATGACAGGATGTCCCAAGAGTGACAAAGGTGGGAGCCAATCCCCCCATGGCCTTTTCTTCAACCATCCCATCAACTACTCTTCATTTCTTGAACGAATTTCCTTTTACAAAAAGGTAACACTAAAGTCAGTCAGAAAGGCTTTCTGAGAAGACTGGCTTGGATTTCTGGGTCTGTTCCAGTCGATTCAAGATGAATTGGCTTGTATCAATGAAGCGCTCAACGCAGTTCACAAAACAGGCCTCAGCCCGACTGTCCAACTTTGGCCCAGGCTTGTCCATGCACTTCTCCTGCTCAGGACAAAATACAGAATCACAAAGGGAACTTGGGGGAAAACAAAGGGCGAGGGGGAATAACTTCTTAGTGTTTAAAGAAAACATTTCACCTAAAAATAGTAAAATGATATGTTAATAATAGTTCACATTTGGCAGCAGCTTACTTTGTGGCAAACAATTTTCTATAGCCTTACATCAAATTTTCATAACAAACCTATGAAATAGGTACTATTATTAATCCTCATTTTACAAAGAGGGAAGCTGTGGCACAGAGATATTTTGCCTAAAGTCATAGGGCCAGAAAGTTGTGGAGCTGAGATGTTACAGAACAAAGAAAATGGCAAAATACAAGTGAATTAATCCTCCAATGAATTTGGTTACAACTCCACAATGCCAAATACATTAAATACCTTTAACTGCAGAATAAAGAGGTGGAAGGAGAAATCACTGCAGCAAGACACCCCAAAACCTACCAAGGAAAAAAGGAAAATCTATGACCCGAGATTCTGTAATTAAGTGACCTTGTCTACTTAAGCCAGAGGTTCTTGAATCTTCTCAAGATGAATGGGGGAAAAAGATGAATGGGAAATGGTATGAATTTTCCTAAAGTTTACAGATTCTTAGAGGAGTCCTTAACCGCCCCTCTCCCCTCGCCCAAATGTAGTGAATCACAGATTTCTTAAAAAAAAAAAAAAAAAGAAAGAAAGAAAGAAAGAAAGCACTCTGGTCCAAGAGACAAGAGTTAAATATTTGTTAAGGGTCAGAGTCCAGCAATACCATAAGTTTATGGGAAAAGGACTATGAAAACCGATGACTGTATATAATTCAAGTTAAGCGATTCAAATGAATTTCCTTCATTATTCTCTGCTGTGTACAGAAGCCTCGGACCTCTGCCTCCAAGGAAAATTACCCCTATCCTCTGAATTCTGTGAATTTTGTATGTCAAGGCAGTTATGTTGTCCTTGGCAGCCAGAGAACACTTTGATCCCAAACTGCAGATGCCTTTCACCCTTTTGCCCAAGTCCCCTCACAGGACATACTCAGTTCTTCAACCTTCAGATCCAAAACGGCTTGATATTACACAACAATCCAACAAGAAGGCAAGTAACTGTGTATGTTGGGAGAGATTAGACTACTTTTATGGATAGTGGGCTAGAGCCACTCGTTTCTCACGGACAACGGTTAGAAGAACTAGGTAATCAAGGTAAACCCTGAGGAGTCCCGGAACAGGAGATTCACTGACTCCCTGTGACTGGGGGTTCCAAAAACTAGAGCCCAGTATCGGGGACTCCCATCAGTCTTGCTGAGCAGCACCAGGCAGCTTCAACTTCAGTGCCTAAAGTGCTAGTTGGGACAGTGGTATAATCCCCAGTCTTATGATCCCCAATCCTCTGTACCAAGAAAGCCGAAGTCTGGAGTGACAGTCCCCTGAGAAGCGAAGTCACCCTTTCCCCCACCCGGCTGGGCCTGAAGAACCTAAGGGAACCAAAGGGTACTGTCAAATGCTCCCCTTCCCCGAATCCCGGACGTCGTAGCTAGTCCCGCGGGGCAAGGACAGGCGGAACGTAGGTACAGTGGCCAGGTCCCGGCCCCAGGATCCTCACCCAACAAAGTTCCGTCATCTGGTGCACTAGCTGCTGGAAGCGCTGCTTCTGAGTCTCCACCTCAATGAAATGCTGCAGCTGCGGGTCCACCGAGCCCAAACCCGCTGCGGAGGAAGATGAGGAGGAATCCATCCCGGCGCCGCCACGCGTGCCAAGACCAACTCCGTACCAACTCCCCGACCTTCACGTGTCTCGGCGAAGGAACCGGAACCACAATCCACCACCTAAGGGACCGCCCCCTGTGAGCGCAATGCGCCTGCGCGAGGCCACGTGCGCGCCCCACCCCCTACTCTCTACCAGGCGGTCCTCCCGGCTGCCCATGCGTCCCTCTCCCGCCGGAGCCGTCTGCCCCTTCTCAAGCCGCCGGCCCCTCCTCCAGCCCCGGCGCCCTCACTGGGTGCCCTTTCCGGCTGCCAGCGCGCCCCGCCTCTTGCCGCGCCCTCCACTTGTGCCATCTGCCACACTTCCAGCCCCTGACCTCTCCGAGCACTCCTCCGCCCCAGCTGCCCCCGCGTCCCGATCCCCACTGCGCCCCCAGCCTCACCCCCTGTCCTCCGCCCGGCTGCCCTCGGGCCATGCTCCCGCCAGCACCTGAGGTGTCAGGGTCACTGCGCTGGCCAGACATTATTCCAAAAACAAAAGAAAAGTAGAAAACGAAGTTACTGCAGACCACGTGGCCCATTCCCGACCGGCCCAACGGCCCCGCCCCTGCCCGCTTCCAAATTGGCCCGCGCTTTCCCAGCTGCTGTGTTGATGCCCTGCCCGGACTGCTAGGCTCATCTCTTAGCCGTCTGGGGCCCCTGGCTCTGTAATGGTTGTCCTCTCTTGATGTGGGGAAAAGAGTCTCCAGCAGAATTTGTTCCCAACCATCAACTTCATTCCGGAATATTGCATGCTGACTGTGTGCCGGGCACTGTGCTTTGGCTTGTCAGTTCATCTCTGATTCAGAGGCAGAATTTTTCAAGAGCCAGAGGGATTAAATGCCAAGGATCTGTCCAGTTGTCGAAGTAGGACTATGCCAAACCAATGTCAGACAACAGTTTCCTGGAACACTGGGATAGGGTGCTCCAGGGAGGCTGCATGATTAATCGAGATAGCAAGAAACTTTCATGCTTTCTGGTAATTTTATTTTATCAAAACACCTTCTCCTCCCATTTTTATGACATGGTTATATTCTTGCCAAATTCAGTCTCCCTTCCCCCAAGCTCTAATGTCTACCCAAAGATCTGTTGGACCCCTTGTGAGGCTATTTACATCTCTCTCTCCCCAAAACCGTTTCTATCCCAAATTCAGTCTCTTAATACTCTCGGGAAATTTCCTTGGGTGACAGCACCAGGCACAATAATTCCTTAGCCTTTGCTCAGAGGTACTATCCCAGGGAATCAAAGAAGAGAGGCAGTCCTAAATGTAGAGAAGGGTTTGTGTGTATTCAGCTAGAGCACAAAGGCTCCAGAACCTGTAGCCTGGGTTTTCCTCCTAGAAAGTGAAATTGGGGCTTGTGGAGGAGAATAGAACCAGGAAGTTTATTGGTGAGCTCAGGATTCTTCATCCATGATATCTAGAATGTTGCTCAGAAGAATTTTGAAAGTGGGACGTTCATCTGCTTTCTATAACCAAAGAAAAAGTAGAGTGTTATAGTGGGCTAGAATCCAGAATCTAAGAGAAACGTAGTAAGCAGCAAATTTTTATTAAGTATACACTATATGCCCAGTAACATAACCTGTAGATTACAAAGAAAAAGGAAAAAAAATAGTTGTGTTCCATAAAATTCTTGTACAATTTTCATCTTTAGTAACTCAGGTTATTAATGTGATGAGGACAATTTGCAAACTAAACTGACAAACATATTGATTAAAACAGGGCAAATTCATTGTCCTGAATCACTACATACCAATGCATTCTCATTTTGGATCTTCAACTGAAAAATGGCTACCAAACAAGTTTAAGTGGTTGACAGAACTGAAATACTACAAGCTGTGATAATTTTTAATTTGGTTTCAAACATCGTTTCTACCATCTCATAGCCAAAGTTAACAAAAGAATTAACATTTCAAGACCACCAGCTGTATCACTGGGCAGGCATCCTGAGCACTTGGGATCTTTCATTTATACTGTCTGGCTTCCAGACTAAGGCCCTTTGTGATAGCCATGGTCCATAAGCCCCTGAAGTATTTAGTGATTCAGGGCATATTCCTGCCAGAAAAGGTCTCAATCCATCAGAACCAAAAAGCCATCAATTTCTTGTTACTTTGAATTAGTGGTTCTCAAAACTAGCTGAGTATCAGAATTTCCTGGGAAGTTTAAAAAGACATTACTGGGTCCTTCTCCAGACTTACCTAATAAGAATCTCTGGAGATAAGGCCTAGTCATCTGTAGTTTTAAGAGTTCCACAGGGATTCTGATGTACATCCAGTTTCAAGACTACTACTTTAAACAAATTATGGAGAAAGTGCCTGTCTGAAGCAGTTAACTAGCAGGGTGAGGATGTCCTAGTTAGGAGGGAGCATGGCCAATCGCCCTTAATCCTGCATTGCACAGTGGAGAGAAGGAATATAACTCCAACGGGGTCTTCCTTTCCCCACACTTTCTTTGTGACCTCAGTCATTTGTTGAAGAGAAAAGTGCCACGCTCTGATCCAGATTCCCAATTTTTCACCCCCATCGAATGGGCTCCAGATTCACATATGTGCTCGTTGGATGCTGTCTTTCCCTGTTTCTAGAGGGGCAAAACTAAGAGCACAGCATTTTATTTCCTACTAGAGATTTAGGTTGTTGAATTAAGGTTGCCAAGTATCTACTGAAAAATGGAAGAATCCAAGGTGATAGCAGCAAAGCATTTTAGTAATAGTGGGACAGGCTTCTTATTTTCAAACTACCACATCTATCTACATGCCCCATATTATACCACACTAAAAAAAAAGAACGCTACCTATTTTAGTTTCCTTTAAGGTCATAGGAGTTTTTGTTTGTTTATTTGTTTGTTTTAAATTTCACTTAAGACCACAGCCAGAAAAGTTTGGCAGTTAGTAAATTAAAAGAAAGAGCCAATGACTCCCAAAGGAATGAACACGAATTTTAATGACTTTCCTTTTTTAATGCCCAATTTGTCTGAGTGCCTTTGGCTGCCTGCGTGTGCTAGGTGACATAGCCTCACAACAACCCTTCTGCCTAAGGCTGAGTTGGTATTGGGGTCTGCTAATAATACTCTAGTGGGAACTGGAGTGGGCCTGGGAAAGCCTCTGGCCATCAAAGGGTTGGGGTGCAGGCTGCGGTCTGAAAATGTGTGCAGCTCCATGCAGCCAGGGAGAGTGGGGACTGGATGCCAGGCCAGCTAAATGGGAAAGTAGGTTCAAGGAAATGATTTAAGAGGTCTCAATAAAACACTTACCTCATGCCAGCAGCTGTACATTATGGTATATACCCGCTCTGAAGCTAAATGAGGCCTGTAGAGACGTAGGCCTTGGGCAATGTGTTCAGCAGTTTCACTGTTAGTAAATCTTTCATATGGCATCTTCCCCAGAGAGTAAATTTCCCACATCAAAACCCCTAGAAAATGATTTTTAAAAGTATTAAGTCAGTTTACAGTCTTTTCGGAGAGTAGAGATCCTAATCTTTCTATATCAACCTCGAATATTAGATTCAGCTGATTCCCCACTCTATGCTTTTTGCATTTTTTTTTCAAACTTCTGCTATAGTACTGACCATATTTGGGGATAATCAGGGTTGCACTGGGCCATTAGCTCTTCCAGGAGAGAGACGGCATCTTATTTGTCTTTGTGATTATAGTGTCCGACAGAGTCCCTGGTACATAATCAGTATTCAGAAGCTGTCGAACACTGAATGAATTGTTTGTTCTCCTCAATATATTGTAAGTTCTAAGAAGGCAGGGGTCATGTCTAGTTTGCTGGCTTTATCTTCAGAAACCCTGTGGTTCCTGACATAGTAAGCACTTTCTAAGGATTCGATGAATTAAAGCAAGAACAAATAATCTCTGTGCAGGTTGCAAAGTGTCAATTTCCCCAATGCTTTCCTCTTCCTGAGCTGTATAATCTATATAATCGTATCCACTCACCAAAAGCCCAAATGTCAGATTTGCTACTGAACTTGCTGTACATAAGGACTTCTGGTGGAGACCATCGGACTGGAAATTTGGAGCCTACTGAGCTTGTATATTCGTCATCTAGAACATACCTGCAAAAGATTCAGGACTTGTTACTGTTAGGATTTGGAGAGCTTGATATTTCTTTAAGTTTTCTTGGCACAGTCATAACAGTTACATAAATACACATCTATAGGCCAGCCAGTGTCTTTTATGAATGTTATTGTTAACATATTCCTGTTTTCCTATCTGATTTAGCTTTCCTGATTGACAATATGGTAACAGCAAAGATGGAATAAAATAAGATATAGTAGGTACTCCCTTCCTCTTCTCTATTTCTCTTTTTTTTCTTCTCCTTCCCCACCTTCTATTCTGTAGTTGCCAGCAGGACTTAGACTGATTAGGAAAGAAAGAGGGATGGGGTAAAGTGAACAGGACTATCGGATCAAGATAAGGTATTGGGAAAATTCGCTTAAAATGAGAGAGGAAGGAGAAGAAAAAGATAAAACAATAAAACAAAAGAATGAAAGAAGTGAAATATCATTCAGAGAAAGAAAAGGTATAGAAAGATGTCAGGAAAGACTAGAAAGAGAATAAAAGAAAGGGACAGGATTACAAATTATAATGCCTCCTCATTTTGTACTGTGCCATTTTTACTTTTCGAGGGAAAAATGAAAAAGCACACTCACCGGGACAGGCCAAAGTCAGATACTTTAACAACTCCTTGATCATTCACCAAACAGTTTCGAGCTGCCTGTAATGCAACAGATAGCAGTGAGACTCCATCCCTGGCACACAGGTTAAAGGCCCAAAGCTTCCACTCACCAAGGGAGTGAAGCCAGGACAGCATCATCTCCTTCAACTAGAGACATTTCCCACCTAATAGGAGTCCATCGATGCCACTGAGAAATGTCGATGTATTTCTACCACATGTAAAGCAACCTGCTGTGTAGTCATAAGTAAAACACTAAGGACATGCGAATGATTTCATTCATGTCGGCAATTCCATGACACCCTTGTCTGCACTGAAATGCTGAGAGAATTAAGGGAGAACAACAGAGGGCAAGTGTGTTTTGTTTTCTGTTTTTCTGACAATGAGCCTTGGCCTGACAAATAAACAGGGGCGAAAACTCTGATGCTTCTGAAGGCCAGGCAGCAAAATGATAAGAGTGAAGCAGGGTGAGTGGAGATTGCAGGAGAGCTAAGAGCACTCTGCTGGTCTAAAGGAAGCAGCTGCTCCTCAACTCCAGCCCACTGTTAGCATACCCTGTGTGAGACTGTGGACTCGGTGTTACAAGATGGTCTAGATTTTCAAGAAAAGCTGGAAACTCAGGTTTATTTTTTTAAATGTGAAATGTTAAGTGCTTGCTAAATAATATATAACATTAAAAATATATACCCACAGGCCCCCAGTTTGTGACTCTGCTTTAACCAAATGATGGCTCTGTGCCAGGAGTAGTCCCATTGGGAAGCAGGATTGTCCTTCGGCCCCTACCATTTCCTTGATGTGGTAGGGAGGGGGCCGGGAGTGAGTGAATGCTCTAACTCCCACCATGACAGAACTTGTAGTGTTGAGGAGGAAGATCCTTAACTGGCTGACTACTGGGGCAGAGGCTCACCTAACTTTTAGTGTTTTCTAGATAAAATTGAAATGATGGCTCCAGCAACCCTCCTCATCCACATCTTTCTCTGCTACTTCCCACCCCTCAGCCCTTGGTCCCAGGCCAATCCTTCTGAGGTCCCACCAGGTCTCGGTGAAGGAACTGCTTTGACTCCAGATATTCCATGGCTTCGCAGACATCTTTGCACATCTCCAGCAGCTGCTGAGTCTGGAAGTGGTGGCGCATCTCCCTCAGGTAGTTCAGGAGGCAGCCATTGGCCATGTATTCAGTGATGATGAAGATGGGGCGCTGCTTGGTGCAGACGCCATACAACTGCACCAGCTTCTCATGGGAAAGATTCCTATAGGAGAGGCCACAAACCAGTCCACACCTTCTGGCTCTGCATACCAGTCAGAAAGGAGCTGGGGTGGAAAGGGGTCAGCCTGGGTATAGAGTGCCAGATAAGGGATGACAATAGCAAGTTGACTTTCCTCCTTCTTACTCTAAACCCCAAGAGGGCCTGATATATGAAGTGAGCAGGGACTTGGAGCCCATTAATAGATCAGGAAAGAAGCCCAGGGCTGAATGAACACTAAGGGTAAATCAGAATCAGTCTTCCTTTTGAAAATCTCATTTTCCACAACCACCCCCAAATGCTACTGAGATGGTAAACACCATGATCAACACTAATTTCAACCAATATCTAAAGCAGATAAATGATTACCCTAGCAGTTAGGACTCCCACCAATCAAAGGAGGCCCTGGTCCCAAATCTCTTACTCTGAAAGTCATCTTAAACCACAGTCGGTTGTCCTGGTAATTCCTAGACTCCAGCCACTAGATTAAGAGTTGAGTTTGGTCTGTAACTCACATCATGACTTTGGCTTCTTCAATGAACTCATCCTCAGACATGGAGCCTTCTTTGATCATCTTGATGGCCACATCATACTGGCCTCTCCATTTCCCATACTTCACTACCCCAAATTGTCCAGTCCCCAGCTCCTTCAAAAAGGTCAGGTCCTTTGGATCAATTTCCCATGATCCTATAACAACAAAGCCTTGGTGTGAGCCTTTGGGAATCATGTATGTATAATTCCTACAATAGGTAAGAATACCTACTGGGTGCAGAAATAGGCAAAAAGTAAAAGGGAAATTCTCAGGAGTATTAATCCATCTTTGCTCAGGTAAATGTCAGGGACAAGAGGTTACTGATTGGAAGAATCTGGGGATTTTAGATGCAAGTCAGCCATAAGGCAAGAAGATAGACTAGACAACCTCTTAAAACCCTTTATGATTTTTTTAAACCACAATTTAAAATAATAATAATAATTTATGAATCTATGTTTTTGCAGTTCCAGTAGGAGCCACAAGAGGGAGAAAAATCATTAAATAACGTGTTTGGCTCTGTCTTAACCTTCCTTGAGGCAGCTGGTGCAGAACAGTGTGCTGCAAGGACTCTTGTGAGGCAAGGTCTAATTGGATCTGCTAAAGGTAGATTTGCAAGGACAAATGGCTGGCTAGTCCACCCTACCCTAGAGAAATAAGCAGTTACCGTAGCCCAGGCCTGCAGTGGAAGGTGCATTCTTGTTTTGCTGAGACACTGGATATTTGAGCCTAGATATGAGTCCTGAAACATACAGAGAGGGTCATGCTCCTAGTGAAGTATAGGAGGTAGGATACCTCACACACCCTCACTTGAAACCTCACACTTCTGATGTTCATTTTCCTAGTACATTTTGAATCCCAGAAGATCTCCACAAACCCTTTTGTTTTTGGTCTGGAAGTGTCTCCTCTCATAAAAGAGTTCTCAAAGACAAAAAAGAGAAAATACTAATTGAAATATACTCCCCAACTAAATACACCCCAACCTCCCAGCCCAGGCTTAACTCACATTCTACCTTCTCAATGAAGCTTTTTCCCTCATCGATCTCCCAGTTTTTAGAATGTCTACACTACAGCATGTCCTTGAATAATGTCATTTTGTTTTAATGTTGATGAGATACCATAGGAACTTAACTCCTGTTTATATCAATTAGCCTATGGTAAAATTGGTTTTGTAATATGTTGTTTTACTTAAAGTCACAGAACCTATTGGCAATGTTAAGTGTGGACTTACTGTACTGAGAAACTGTCTTCTGATGTTTTCTAACCTGTATATTCTTTGAGGGCAAAGATCTCGGTTAATAATTTTCCTGCATTCTCCTTTACTACCGAGTACACAGTAGTAACTCAATGAATACTTGCTGATTGATTAATCACCAGTCTCTTTTATGTCTATCCTTAGTACTGAGCATCAATCGTCAAATAAGAAGTCACTCCCTATGGGTATAAAGTCTGCCTTTGACCAACTCTTTAGTTGACCTCCACCAGCATCACAGGAGTTGACTTTCACTGATTGATTTGCACTGCCCTGTGAGGCTTATTCTTCCCCTCATCACCTTGTTCTGAATCACTTCTGCTACTTATCACATTCCTTCATCTTTGGTGCCCTTGATACTCACCTGCAGAATTATGCTGATGGTAGTTAATGAGCTCAGGGATGGTGCTGAAGAGGTGCTTCTCAGCCAGGTAATACTGGTTCTGAGGTGTGGAACACACAACATAATGGCGTATCACCCCTTGAGGGTCCCTGAAGAAGTGGATTCTGAGTCAGCAACTTGAGAACAAGGGTCAGTGGGACCCAAAAAGTGAGACAAGATGAGTTTTGAGTTTAGGGACAAAGGAAATAGGAGAGACACGCCATTAAGGAGCTGTTGGATGGGTACCCCTGTCCTTTGTCCCCAAGGCCTTGGAACAGTAGCACTCACCCTGTAGATTTAGCAAACACAGACACAGTATATTTTCCAGCTTTGCTGGAGTCTCTGACAATGAAACCTCCTTCCTTCCCCTGAAACAATAAAAAAAGAAGCTGACTGTAAGGAGGAAGTGGTGCCCACACCTGCATCCCACCTGCCCAAACCAGGGAGAAAATATAACCACCCCTGATTTCACTGCCACATTCCATGTTTCAGGTGATGATACTGAAAAGTGTAATGAGAACCCCATACAATGATGGCCTTGACACTGCCTTGCATGGAGGTATCAGGCAGCAGCAAGCCTTCAACTCAAGATCCTCACTTGTACAAGGAGAATGCTGTTTGTTTGTGGTCGCACCCTTACCTCTTGCTTTAGCAGTTCTTCAGCTTGACTCCGAGTCATGTGTTTTGAATACCACCTGTTGAAAAGAGTGTTCGAGTGGCTTCTATGCCATGGTGTAAGCGATTCTGAGACTAGAGCGACCTCTAGGGCTCATCCATGCCAGTGATTCAGTCAATTCACTGAACCCCTATTTATTGAGTGCCTATCATGTGCATAACACAATTGCATTCCTTTCCCAGAACCTAGTTGGCACTGAAAATTCATAGATATGGAGAGTAGAGGGCAAAGGTAGGCGGCAGGGGTTGCAGGGAAGGGATCAGGGATGGAGCATTCAAGGACAATCCACCTCTATATTTACGGAGAACAAACGACAGCAGAAGTTTGACACATTCACTCTTTCAAATGTTTCCTATCAGGCTGTCAATTCTTTCTTTGAGTGTGGTTCTTCTGGATTTGGGGGGCATGGTGACCTCTCCAACTCTCATAAGCAGAAGGTGTTTGGGAGGAGGGTAAGACGTAGGTACTACTAACTTGGGGGTGGTGACATCATTTGACCTAGTTGGCAGTGATCTTAATAAGTATCTTGAAATCAAAATTTTGTTGAAACTACAAAAAAGTATATGCTATATTTTATTCCTTCTGGAAGATTTTGAGCTGGGACCATAAGCATACTCACTCATACATTTCAATGGAGTCTTCTGCTTCAGTGACATAGTTATTAGGGATGTAGCCTTCCTGCCTGTAGAGGAGACATTGTGGTAGATCCTCCAGCACTCCCCATCCCTGGGCTCAAAACCAGTCTCAAATGGAGGTATATAAATCACGCCTCTCCCTCAAAGAGGATCATGTCACTAACACATGGCTAGGTCCATGAAGTGTGTAGCTTCTGCACATGCAGCATAGATTATATGTGTACAATAACATGTGGGCCAGACCCTACAGACTCGGAGAGGTGGCCATGTGTAGGGCTGGAGTGGACTCACCCATTTTTATCTCGTGCTCGCCACCAGGGTAAATTGCTCTCCTCCAGAATAAAATATTCATCACCCTTCCGCAGCTGTAAATCATTTGCATTCATTGGCATGTAATCATAAAGGGCTACAACCTTTTTCAGCTCGCTTGTGGAGACGGGTGCTGCTGTTGGTTCAGGGGGCAGTGGTTTTTTTAAGATCTGTGTAGGTAGGAGGAAAAAGTAGGGTAGTTTGGCTAGACATCAAGTACTTTCCTCTCCCAACTCTCTGGCTTACTAGAAACACCATTCTAACCCAAATCAGGCATAATAAAAGTTTACTCAGCAGCCATTCTTAAGTACTTAGACAGGGGTTCCCAGCTGGAATGCATATCAGAATCTCTAGGGAGCATTTAACAATCCCAACACCCAGGCAGTTTCCCAGAACAATTACATCAAAATATCTGGAGATGGGGCCCAGCCGTCAGTATTTTTAAAACTTTTCAGACAAAAACCATGTACAGATATGATCAGGAAACCTATTTGGCACTAAATTTGTACATGAACCTAATAAGTGGCTTTAAAATTCAGTTTTCTTGTTTGTAAAATGAGCATAATTCCTGCCCTGCTTTATTGTGCTTCAAAGATGTTGCATTTTTTACAAATTCAAGGCAAGACCTCCCATCAGCAAAAAATTGCAACTCGCTTTATTGTAATGGTCTGGAACCCAACTCACAATATCTCCAAGGTCCGCCTAGGTATGAGGAAGGGCTTTCTAGACCTCAAAAAGTAACCAAAAAGTAAAGTTTTAAAGTAATATATTACTGGTAGGATCAAGGTATTGGGTATATGGGTGTTCATGATTAAATTCTTTCAACTTTATGTTTGAAAATATTTTTCATTTTTAAAACTGGGCTTTATTTTGCTTTAAACAAATGATTGGATTAAATGGTTAACAAGAGCTTCCTAACAGCCCTGTATCATTCCACTGAAAAGGAAGTCCTAATTAGAATAAATCCTGTCTTAGCAAGAGCACCAATTAACAGTGCCAAATCCCAGGGGAATTCTAAGACTCTGGTATGTCTTCCAGGGTGACTGTAAGTTTCCATTTGAGCAGTAGCAGCACCCAATTTCCCTGTATACCTGGTCCTCCTCAGGCGTAGGAGGAAGAGGCTTTTTTGTCTTCCTATGAGAACTCCCAGGTTTTAAACCTGCAAAATAAGAAACCAGTGATGGTATAGAATGCATCTTAGGAAAGGTTTGGTTAGGGACTTTGCTCTTGGTCCACAATACCTTTAGGCAAGTTAGGAAAAGTCTGGGCGGATAACAGTCCTGTGCCAAGTTGCACAGCGTGGAGAGTAGAGCACCGGCTGAATTTTGGCCCCCACAGATCCCTTCTCCCAGGTCTTTTTGTACAGTGACCAAAATGTACAAACCTGGGTTTGATAGACCCTTGAGAGAGTGGATGACACAGTCAAAAGAGGGAGAAATTGTATTGATCAGATCTCTTACTTCCATTCCTGTTTTCCAAAATTTGGCAGCCCATAGCATTTTTGGCTGTCTGAGAGCAGCAGAGATACTGCCCATCAATCCAGAAGCACGGGTGGTATTTCTGTACCAGATCACTGTTGTACCGGATTACTGTAACAGGAGAGAAGAGAGATCACATCTGAGATGTGGGAAAATCCAACATTTGCGTGTTTTCCTCTTTGAGCTTAGTAGTGAACTTCAAACAACTGCACCTTCTTCTGCTACCCTGAAGGGAAGCAGACAACAGGGCCAGTTGTCTGGCCCCAGAGAGCTTCTGTGCAGTTATCTTCAGTGGTCAGCCATGATGACTATCTCCTGACCAACATGATAAGAATAGCTGATGTCTCCAGAGCCCAGAACAAAAACACGTTATCTATGTTTTCCCGGTAGTCATTACAATTTTCCTGTAAGACAGGTGTTGATTATGGTGTTCTTTTCCAGATAAGGGACACAATTTGCCCAAGCCAAACTCTCACTCCAGCTTCTAATATACCAATGTCCTAGCTCCTTGAGTGATCTTTTAGCGATATTTGCCTTAATGAGAACTTCTGCATCAGGATTTCTGTGTTCATAGAATAGTCAACAGAGTGAGCTCAGGGGCAAATGAAGGTGATTTTGCCTCTAGATTCTGCCTGTAGAATAAACAGAGTTTCAATCTTCCTAGGGCCACCGAGGTGGGTTGAATTCATTGCGGGAGATAAACACAGCAGCTCCTTTTCCCTCACAGGGTTGTGAGGCTCAAAAGATATCCCAGAAGCCAAAGTACTTTGGAAAGAATAGAGTGGTCTGTAGATAGGAGGAATTGGTCTTATGGCTTTTAATACTGTGGCAACTCAAGAACCTTAACATGAAGTTGGTTAGACAAGTCATCCTAGAATCATGTTGTTAGATAACAGAGGAGCAAAGACAACTGAAATAATTGACAATAGCTAGCATTAGGGCAAAGACCTAGGGTGGTCTAAGAATATGCACATTTGAAGACATACACATTTCAGCCTTTACTACTACTACGAAGCCCTGCATAACTTTTTTAAAAAGATAAAAAACAAACAAAACCTTCCTTTGTGGAGACCAACTCCAGCCCTTAAGAGCTTGCTAGTCACGCTCCACTCACTTAGGGTTTGGGGGAAGGCCTAGAAGCTTCTGGTGGCCAGGTGCTTTTTAAAGGCAAAGGAACGAAAGTGCTGTCTTAAAAAAATGCTATCTTAATGTTTTCTAAACATGTATTTGAAGATTTGTATCTACTCTACCCTGCCTACCCTCACCCTTCACTTTTTCAGCACTCCCTTACACCATTGTACCAAATGCAAGGTGGTGGGAGCTATTCAGATGGGGTCCAGGTTGTGAGGAGCTGCACAGTCTGTAGAGAATTTTTTTTAAAGCCTACAGCAGCTGGTCTTTCTAGGTGGTCTCCCATCCAAGTACTAACCAGGTCCGACCCTGCTTAGCTTCTGAGATCAGACAAGATTGGGCGTGTTCAGGGTGGCATGGCTGTCGGAGAATTTTAAAATAATAGTAAAACCAACCAAAAGTCTGTTTGACTTTTATTATTACCATGCACTGGAAATTCTGAATAATATTCTGTATAATTCTCCCAGCAAGGACTGATTATCTCTATTGCCTCTACACTCTGCCCCTCCTCCCATGGCACTACACTTCACCCAGAGATTTGAAAACTCTCAGGTGCAGGCCTAGACACCAGTAGATATGCTAACAATTCTTAACAACTAGTTACTGGTAAACTAAGCTATGCTAATGTGATAATGAGAGGACATAAGGCTTCCTGCTCTCTTCACCTCCAGCATACTCATTAAAAACCAAGCTTACATTACCAAATAATGTCTGCCTCTGAAGAGGTCCCTTTAAGATGATTGCCCTTTCTTTGTTGGCTAATCCGGAGCTGGTATTTTTAGCTACTTAGGAGAGAATTGCAAAAGCAGAGTGTCTATTATGGACTGAATGTTTGTGTCCCCTCAAAATTCACATTATGAAGCTTCCCAATGTGATGGTATTGAGAAGTGGAGCCTTTGGGAGGTAATTAGGTCATAAGAGAGGAGCCCTTATGATGGGATTAGTGCTCTTATTAGAAGAGACTCAAGAGAGAGATTCTCTCTGCCATGTGAAGACACAATGAGAGAGTGGCCAGTCTGCAAGTCAGGCAGAGAGTTCTCACTAAGAACCAAAGCACTTGGCACCCCGATCTTAGACTCCTCAGCTTCCAGAACTGTGAAAAATAAATGTTTAAGCCACCCAGTCTATGGTATTTTGTTATGACAGCTAGAGCTGATTAAGACAGTGTTCAAGTGGGAATGCTAGGAGAGACTGCTTACTTCACCAATGCATAGAGCCAGCCCTGTATGGGAAGCACTTATGGTTGGCACACATTCTGCAAATACTTGATGGTCTACTGTCTCATATACATATTTATCAGGATAATGTTTAAAATTCTGTTTCAGGAATGAATGAATTATTCCTCTCCTTATTGGTTGTTGGAGTTTTGCCAAGGCCATGCTTATTCATTTTGGTGAAGTCACATCATTTGATTATATTTGAAGTTGCTATTAGGATAGGCTCTATTCAGCTTGACTGAACAAAGATTCTAGAGTGAATATAGCCAAACATCTGTGGTGCTGTAACGTAGAATTGTCCACTACCATGTTCAAAGAAATGAAAGGAGAGAGCCCATGGCTAAGTTCTCAGGCATACAACTTTTCATTGAAAGTGCTGCGGAAAAAAGGTAGCAGATAGATATTAGGTTACATAGACCTTACTTTTTAAATTGAGATATAACTTACACATAAAGTGCACAGATCTAAGGTATGTAGCTAACCACGTTTGTTTACAATTATTTAACCATCACTCAGATCCAGCACTTCAGAAGGCTCCCTCATGCCCCTTCACAGCACCTGGATTCTGATGAGGTCCCCTTCTCATGTTAGTGATTTTTAATTGTGCATTTTTACCCTAAAGTGGGACATCATCATCAGAGTGGGATTTTATGGCTCCTAGACTATTTTTCTATTGGCATTGCTAGCACCTTGGGCTGCCCTGGGGTTGTTAGAACTTGCACCTAAATCTTCCAACAACTATGATCTTTGTTGCAAGGCATCTACATCTTGGCTCATGTTGTCAGCCCAAGCAGGTTCAACAAGACATACACCCAGGTCTGGAATAACTGGAAAAAAAAATGCCTTCAGTAAAACATAAAGGAAGAGAAGGCAAAATTGCACCTACTCACGCTAATGACCCAACTGAAGTGGTGGTGTTCTCTTTTTGTTTTGGCTTTATTTTTACTGTAATTTTACCTAATGAACTTTAGTAGCAGTGCCTAATCAATATAGTAAGGTTAATATCTGAGTAAATAAACCAAGTTTATAAACTGGATATTCTTATCCTTGGTCATTACTCATACCTCGAATATAGTAGGCAGTCAATAAATATTTGTTGGGCTAACCTACGACTGGTTTTGAAATTAGTATTTGAAGTGTAAAGGAGTTACTAACTTGTACATGCCACATTTTTTCTCTTTTGTTTCTCCCTCAGCTAACATATCCACCTTCCCCTATTTCCAAACTAAATCCTAGCTGTCCATCAGTGTGGAGCACAAGTTGGTGGTAGTTGTGTACTCTAACAGAAAAATCAATTAACAGAACTATTGGCCCCTTTTTGTGTGCAAGGCACTGTGTGTGGCACTGTGGAGAGAACTGAAGAAGTACAAATATATATGACCTCTGGAGCTCCTATTTCAGCCTCTGCAAATATTTCCCTGGCTTGGAAATAGCCTATTCATTCAGAGCATTAAATTCAAAGCCTGACCCTACCACTTACTGAGTGCTTTTGGGCCAGTTACTTAACTTCTCTGTACCTCAGTTTTCTCATCTGTAAATGGGAATAATGAAAACAACTGTCTTATATGGTTAATATTAGAAAGAAATAACTTAACACATGTAAAGAACTTAGAGGATCCTGGATCCTAATAAGCACTATTGAAGCGTTTGCTTGTTTTGTACCCCAAGGTCTAATGCAGGCCTCTTATCTCAAAACATACTAAGAACTTAACTGTATGGTGCAAGATATCACCCATTTGCAATACTCAGCATAGCCTTACTCTAGAATACAGACTTATACTGTTTAATGACTGGAATTCTGAGAAATGCATCATTAGATGATTTAATCATTGTGCGAACATTATAGAGTACACCCAACACTAACCTAAATGGTGGAGCCTACACACCTAGGCTATATGGTATAATGTATTGCTCCTAGGCTACAAGCCTGTACAGCAAGTTACTGTATAAAACTACATGAGATGAAATCAAGTATAAGAGAAAATGATGTAATCAAGAGATGTAGTAAACATGAGATGTGTGAGGCCACTGCCTGTATAACATTGCACACATTTTTTTTTTTAGGTGAGGCAACCTTTAGTTGACCTCACAGATTGCAAAGACCTTGCCAGCTTACAATCCCTTATTTTTTATTTTTTACACCTACAGCACCTGGTCTTCCTAGGTGGTCTCCCATCCAAGTACTAACCAGGCCTGACCCTGCTTAGCTTCTGAGATCAGATGGGATCGGGTTTGTTCAGGGTGGCATGGCCGTAGACAACACTGCACACTTTTTGACAGAAAACATTTTTTTTATGAGTAGAAAGAGTATACTCTAAAATAATGATAAGAAGTATAGTATAGTAAATACATAAACCAGTAACAGTCGCTTTTACCATTATCAAGTAATATGTACTGTACATAGTTGTATGTGCTCTACTTTTATATAACTGGTAGCTCAGTAACACCACAAATATGTGAGTAATGCACTGAACTACAATATTATGGTGGCTACATTGTCACTAAGCAATAGGAATTTTTCAGCTCCATTATAATCTTGAGACTACCATCGCATATGTGATCTGTTGTTGATTGAAATGTCTTTATGCAGTGCATGGCTGTATCTTGCTACCAACCACAAGTGCAATTTCTGAACTTGAGAACTAAGCAGCATAAAACTATGTAATGAGCTTAGTCTCTGGAATCATATAGACCTAGGGATGTGGTAAGAATCCATGCTTCCCCACTCACAAGCTGTGTGCCTTTGAAAAAATTACTTAATCTCTTTGAGCTTTAGTTCTCTCCCCTGTAAACAAGAGAATAATACATACTTCATAGGCTTATTGTGAGGATTTAATGAGCTATTATATTCAAAGCACTTGGCCCAGAGCCTGGTACACAGTAAGTGCTCATTAAGTGTTATTATTATTGTTGTTGTTGTTTTGGCAGAGTAGCTATGAGAATTAAATGAAATAATAAATATAAAGTATTTAGCTTGGAGTCTAGCACATAGCAAGAATTCAATAAATGACCCTTTTCTTCCTTACTCCTTTCCCCTTTCAGCTTGAAAAATTTGGTCATTTTTATTTCAACTAATTGACTTGCATTCAAAGGAGTGAACAAAGCTGGTATAGTCAGCCACCAGGTATCAGAATCTACATGTTTATTAAGACAAAGGTTATTGCTGTCACGCAATAACCCAACCATGCTGTTATCAGTCTGCCATCCTTCCTGTTTCTCTAGGCAGCCTTTCCTGATGTTAATTCAACCAGTTAATCTCTCGGTCACTTGACATGTGGCTATATATACACTCAAATTGTGTGCATGCATCCTGTGCTACAAGCATTTACAGTCAAGTTTATCTGAGCACACTGTATGGTCTATATGAAATGCTGAAACTGTTTAACTTTAGGTCTTCACAAAGCTAGGAATATGAAATAGTTCCTTGGAAAATATTCATCCACAGTGAAGATATGTATAGTGCTTTCTGTACAGTGCTTTACAGTTTTCCATGTGCTTTCACATATATTACTTCATTTGATCCTTAGGACACCTTGGAGGTAGGTATGGCAGACATCGTTATTATTCCTATATCAGAAGAAGAAACTGAGCCTAAAATAAGTGTGTTGACCTATTTGTCAAAGGTCATTCAGCTTATTAGTGGTAGAAGAGGGCTTGGAATAAGGTTCCCCACTCTGACTTCAAGCACTCTCATAATCATCTATTTAATTTTTGGGGACCAAGTATTACATACTTAGGATTCAAAATATTTCAATAACCTTTAAATGCCACCCCACCCCACCCTTGTAATCAGTGTAAAGAATAGAGATTTTTGTAAATAGGGAAATGGAGGTACCTACAATGACAAAATTGCACTACAGAGATAGTGGTGGAACTGGGTTGAAAATTTTAGCCTAGCGTGTAATTTTTTATTCATACGATGGAATGTGAAACTCAGCTGCATCAGTAATATGGGGAAAATTATTTCTCTCCTGCTCCCCCTCCTTCTCTTGTCCTCCTTCCCTTCCACCTCTCTTTCTCCAATCTCTCCCCCCTCTGCGGCCCCCGCTTCTCTCCTGCTTTTCTTCCTTTCCTTCTTTCTTTCTTTGGAAACTTGTTTATTTTACAAACAATTCTCACCATTTTTAAGCTGGTGAATCCAACGTTTCCTCAGTTCTTCAGTTGGGGAGAAGACATAGAGAGGCCCTTCATCATATACAACCTGAGACAATGGACACACAGACTTCAGCAATTAGAATTCAGAAAAAAAAAAGAAGAAAACCCTTGAAGGATCAAATCTTAAGCTACAACTTTGTATATGCATAGTGGAAAACAAAGGAAGGCAAAGTCTTCAGTCAGTAACTGGGCCAGTGTCATGTGAATTATCTGCAGAATTCCTAAGCAATTCAAATTCAGGATGTAGGACTTAGGAAGTCTTAGCTTACTGAATACTCCTAGGTTCTCTTGAGTTATGTTTCAATTTGTATGTAAACTTAGTTCACGACGTTTCCTTCAGCTGTGGTGGAGACAAGATTTTTGTTTAACCAACAAAAGCTATTTTATGACCTTATTAAACTTTGAGTTTGTATAAGGAAGAACTGAAGTAATGATTTGTATAACTTAAGTCTTGGTTAGTACATACACATTATTCACTTGGAAAATATGAAGTAAAATTTTAACTCATGGCTAATTTTCCCCTCACTGCCTAGTAGTCTCCCCTTGCCAATATTTGCCAAAATAAACCAAACTTGGAACCACAACCCTACTTCAAAAAGAGTAAAGTAAATTAAGCATTGTCATCAAATCAAACAGTCAGGATTTTTTTAACACTTCACATATACAAGGCATTGTGCTAAGTGTTGTGGAGGTGCATAAAACATATAAGATGTTTCGCAGACTTACTAGATATCATATAATGGATTCTAAAGTCAAATGTAAATTGATTTTGAATTATCTGCTGTTTACCATTATCAACTAGCCCAGCTAAACAATGTCATCTTGTTGAAACACAACGGTAGCAAAAGTATGTCTAAAACACCCTTCCTTCACAGGTTTTGTAAACTTTGATACAATCAAGGACATGGACAAGATCCTTTTACATTTTTCTTTTTGCTTTTTAGTCTTGCTGTGCTCATAAATCCATGACAGAAAGACCCCTCCCCTGAGACTTTCCACTTCCTTTTCTGTCTTTCACTGTTGCAGAGGCTGCTATATTCATGACATGTGGCCTACAGAGTTCTCAGGACATAAGCAAGCCAAATCTGAAGCTCTCGTTCTCTTGTATGGCTTACAATGCATCAACCAAACAGATGTCTACGTGGCTCCTTAGTTATTTCAAACTACAATAGAATTTAAATTTATGTGTAAGTCTAATAAGCCTTCCCCATACCAAACTTCCTAATACTACTCCTTCTCTCCCCTTTTCTGACTTTTCAACTCACGTGACCACCATTAGACAGATAGGCAGAACCAGAAGGAAGCGAAATGCTCACTCGACAAACCCAGCATCTTCCTCAATGTAGTTATCATAGACAAGACACACCATAATAGAATTAATGCCATTATGGAGTCTCTGAGGTGTAGAGACTAAAAGAAACTATGTTAGATTGGGAAAATAAAAAAGCAAATGCTCTCAGCCCATGGCAGTCTCATTTCTCAGTCCAACCTTCTTGTCTACCTCAACTTCTGTTCCTTGGGACCTAGTATCCTTCCCTATATCTCACACTCCGTCCCTAACAATTACAAGTCCCTTTGAGAGCTGGTGAGAGAAAATACCTCACCTGGAAGGGATAAGGGAACCTTTCAATGATTGAGATCTGCTCCATTTCACTGGATTCTTCACCCCTTCTCTGCAATGAAAGAAGAAGAAAACATGGTTATTAGTTGATGCATTGTTCTTTTCTGGATTTTCTTAGGTACTGGGAATTCTTCGCTGTAGCTTCAGAAGGCTCCCCTGCACAGACAATGCAAATTCTTAGTGACTAATTCCTATAACCCGATAAGGACACATATCCATGGAATCCAGAACATGAGAGAGAAAGATAAATATCATATGATTTCACTTATATGAAGAATCTAAGAATCTAAGAAACAAAAAGAACAAACCAATCAAAAACAGACTCAAATATAGAGGAGAGTCTGGTGATGGCCAGAGGGGAGAGGGGTTGAAGGGCTGGGAGAATGGGGTGAAGGGTTAAAGAAGTACAAATTAGTAGCTGGTAGATGGTCATGGGGATGGGGAGCATAGCATAGGGAATGCAGTGAGCATTAATGTAATGGCTAAGTGAAAAGCCAGAGGAGAGAAAAAGCAATTAGGAGGGTTGTTTTATAAATTGTATAAATGTCTAACCAATGTTTCATAAACTGTATAAATGTCTAACCAATGTGCTGTATACCTGAAACTAATAATAAAATAAAATTTTAAAAAACCATCAGGCATCTCAAATCATTAAGGAAAGGGAGGTTACTCAATAAATGGTGCTAGAACATTAACCACTAATATTGGTAGTGAGGAGTTAGGTAGCTATTTCATGCCATATGCCAAGGTAAATTCTGGATGGATTCAAGAGCTTAATATTAAAAATGAAACTAGGAATGACTGAGAAAAAGTTTACCCATTTATATAATCTTGCAAGGCTTTTCTAATATAATGCTAAAGATTAGAATCATTAAGAAAAAGTAAGCTAATTTGATGATATAGACGTTAAAACCTTGTATGGTAAAAAACAAAAACAAAAACAAAAACACCCCCACCATAAACAAAATTCAAAGATAAATGAAAAGGTTAAAAAATATTTTCAACATATTATTACAGTTAAAGGATTAATATGCTTAATATATTGAAATATCTTAAAAACTACTAGGAATAAGGTAAACATTTCAGTAGAAAGATGGGCAAAAATTAACAGGCAATTTGCAAATGAAAAAATATAAATAAGCTATAGATGTATAATTGTTTAACCTTATGAGTAACAAAAACAATTGCAAAATAAGACAGCAGTGAAATGCCATTTTTCTTGGCTGCCAAATTAACAAATATTTAAAAAATCTGGTATTAAAAAAGAATGTAGAGAAATAGAAACTCTCACACATAGTTTGTAGGAGAGTATGAAATTCAAATTTCACTTCTAGAAAACAAAATAGAATAAAAAAGGTAAAAGTAACCAAAATGCACAGACTTCATAAAGAGAAGACAAAATTTTACTACTAGGAAATTATTATAAGGAAAAAAATAAAAGCACGTACAGATGCATGAAAATATGTTCCTCCAACATGGTTTATAATATCAAGTAATTGGAAATAACTTAAATGTGCAATAATAGAAAATGGATTAAACAAATTATAATACAATATACTCAAGATAAGGAATACTATGCAGTCACGAAACTCATGTTATTAAAGAGTATTGTCATTGGGAAAAGTTTTCATATGTTGTTAAATTGAAAATGTAGTTTACAAAGCAAGATGTGTAGTATAATTCTATGTTTCAAATATATAACATATATTTTAGTGTGGTTGTATGCGTTGCTAGTGGAGAAAAACTCAAGCCTGTAAATCTGATCCTGGTACCTGAAAGAGTAAAACCCATGATCTCTGATCAGTTTGTAAACTTGATATGATGTTATCTTAAAATTGGTGTTACAAATTTTCTAGATTAAGTGAGTTGTTCTGCATCTGGGGGAAAGATGCTAAGACTCGTTATAATCAATACATGGCAGAGTGAAGAATTTTATACAGAAGCTTTTCTGTGTTCCACATTACACCACTAGTTTATTTACAGAGAACTGCAGTGTTCCAAATTTCTTAACTGCTCTCCCACCCCATTCCTCTGACAATAATCTCTCCTTACCGGAATCTGTCTTTCAGGGGGAGGATTTTTTTCAGGAACCACTGTTTCAACGCAGGTGATCTTCTCGACATCTATTGAACCCTTCTTACTGCCTCTTCTCTAAGAAAATGAATGAGGAAGAAAATGGAGAAAGATTAAGGGTGATTAAGCAACCAGATGATTAGATTTTGTTATCTAATCATTCAACATAGTGAGGTGACACCCACACTCTATTATCAGGACCTGTCATTTTGAAAAAATCAACTTTCAGATCTATTAATCTAATCTTTTTTGACTACCAGATGGAGGGGAAATACTATGGAAGAGTGGATGACTCTCTTTATCTTAAAAAAATAAGAAAGCAATTGCCAAGTCTTAGATTTCATTCTCAACAATCATTTAATGAGTGCTCACCTATGGCAAGATCCCATGGTAAAATTTTCCCCACAGCTTCTCGGTACCTTTGATTTTTTTTTTTCCAGCATGGCTGTAGCTAGTTCTAGGCTAGGAAACATTTTGCTGAGTTTGAAATGTACTTGGGCCCCTTCCATCTTCCTCCTCCCACCAAAAAGCCTCTACTTCCTCCCCAACGGATATCTAAGGCCAAGTTTTTGATACTCGGGTTTCACAGCAGAGAAACTTACCCCACGTTCAAAGTCATACTCATAGTAGGAAAGTTTGTGCACAGTCAAGAGAAAGAGGCGCTTCTTGAAGTTTAAAGGTGATGTTTTCTTTTTCTGCTGGGATCGCTTCAGAAAGATGCTCTCCAGTATCACTGCAGCCATAGCTTCTTATTTCTGGAGCTCACTTGTTTGCTGTTGATAATGAAAGTTCTTGACAACCCAGCACATTAATCCTCATCTCCCCTGGTTCCCCCTCAGCCTAGCCACCTAGTTTCGATTGGAACAGAAACTTATAAAGCTAACAAAAGACCTTCTTCCTACCTTGCCATCCACCTTCCACATCCCCTATCTCTGTCAGTTTTTAGGTATAGTAGATGAATATTGAATTGGAGGAATTGGTTCTACATTGTGAACTCACATAAACTGAGTTCTTGGAGCACTCTGGATGCCAAATGACATGTACCTGTGTGCTAGGTAATGTCTAGAGGCAAATTTATACTAACTGCCCTTTTATGATACATGCAGAATCTGTGAACAGCAAAAGTCTCTGTGCAGCTGTTGACCCTGATATCCCCAGAAGGGATAATGCAGGTGCCAGAACTCCAGTGAGGCAGATATTGGACTTTCAGTTCCCAGTTTCCTAGACAGTGAATATAATTTTTCAAACATTGTCCCACTGAGGTCTGTAACCAAGAGGTCTAATAAGGATATGGAGGCTGCACCTGCAGTTATAGACGTATACTAACTGCCGCCCAACCGATTTTGCCCATCACCCACTGGCTGAGCTATAAAGGATGAAAGCTTTATTTTAAAATTGAAAAATAATTTTTTGGGAGGGAGTCGTTTTTGTTTTTGTTTTTGGCTTTTCCCCATCTTTCCGATTACATTAGTTTTTTTAAACAGCATCATGCAAAAGCGATGCAACTGTCTTACTCTTATGGGTGTCAACTCTGATCGTTTATGAAAAGTAACTTGATTAGCCTCTCCAAATTTACAGTACCTCGGAAAGATTTAGTTTAGGTAACTGAAATAGAGAAAGGCAAAGAAAGTTATAAAAAGTCACCATGGGAGAGGGGAGAAAAAAAAATGGCATAGATGATAGAGGCTCTGTTCATCCCTCTAGTGACCAAATCAAAGTTGCGATGGAAACAAGGAGCAGCAGCAAAGAAAAATCACCTGGGATCTAGATGAACAAGCCACACAACTAGGGAGAAATCTAAGAAATCACCTGCAATGGCAGAAGGCAGGACAGGGCAAGGACGCGGGGCTGCCCGGTCTCGAGTGGCTGAGTGAGACAGAAGCTGTGGTAGTGGCGGCGACAGTGGCAGCGGCAAACATCTCTTAAAGGGGCCTCATCTGTGAGGAGATTTTCACGGTGACGGACCTGCTCGCTCTGAGCACCAGTGCCCGTTTGTCTGCATGCAGGGGGCATGAGAGACTTACAGGGAGATATTGTCGATGTGAGAGTTGAGGCAAGACTCTCTCTGTACAGAAGTGCTGGCGGTATCCATTATCCCCTGTTGAGCCCACTCCACTCCCAGTGCGTGGACACAGAGCCGCCATAACTGTGATGTCATCAAACTAGATAACAGAGGTCGCTCCACTCAGAGGATTCCTGAAACCCCACGTCCCCCAATTCATGGCTCCAACCAAGCCACATCCAGGTATATCCTCAGCAAGTCAGGTGCTCCTTGCTGAGCAGTCTTTAGACTCACACTGGAGGCAGCTGGCCTCGGTTTCTGGTGTG